CGCTCCCAGAGCCCCGGGAGCTCAGGCGCCTTTCTCTGCCGGTCGCCCACGGGACCAGCGCCGTTTCCGAGCAGGAGGACGCCGCTAGGGATGCTCTGGCTTAGCCCTTGGGTTCTCTTCAGAAAGCATGAAATTGAGACTCAACACTGAGAGTCTGTTCATTTAACGGGTGTCTAGGGAGCGTGTGTGTCATGAAGATGAGAGATTCAAGGAGCTCAAACTACGAGCTCTCCACAAAGCATGAACCTGTTCCTGTGCTGCCTGCCTCTCACGTGGGGAGAAATCCTGTGGGTCCCTCGGCCGGGGCGCCTCAGGGAAGGGTGGGCGAGGGGGCGCTGGCTTCACCATCAGCAGCTCCTGGAGCAGTGAACCCCTACTTCCCCACCCCCTGAAAGGACGATGGGGTTGCTAAAGCCCAAGACATCTGCTCCCATCTTGACCGGTTTGGCTCAGTGGATAGAGCATCGGCCTGTGGACTGAAGGGTCCCAGGTTCGATTCCGGTCAAGGGCATGTACCTGGGTTGCGGGCACATCCCCAGTAGGAGGTGTGCAGGAGGCAGCTGATCGATGTTTCTCTCTCATCGATGTTTCTAACTATCCCTCTCCCTCTCTGTAAAAAATCAATAAAACATATTTAAAAAAAAAAAAAAGACATCTGCTCCCTTTACCCGGGTCTGATACGTGGAGGCAATAAAAGTTGAGGATTGTCAGCTAACGTAATCATCTCTGCTTTGTTGGCTAGGGTTCACAGCATTGATGGACAGGTTCAGCCTGACCTGCAAGTCGGAAGATGACCTGGACAAACTGGCCCACATTTTCAGTTATTACATTAGTGACATCATCGAGCGTGAGTGGCCATTGCAGGGGGGCAAGGAGGCGTGGCCTGGGCTCCCGCGGGTTGGCGATAGAGGGGTCCTGGGGTACCTTAAAAGGGACACTGAAGGACCATTCTTTCAGGGTTACTCACATTTGTTCCGACAAGCTAGATCTTTGTATCTGCCATTCTGTCCAGTCTCACATCCCGTTGACTCAATGTTCAGAAACAGAAGAACAGCTAGTTTTAACTTTGCATGTTTGTGTTTTATTTCAAAATAAAGCATTCCTCAGGTTGTCTCTTCTAACAATAATGTAACGTGCCTCATGGGTGTATGTCAAATATAATTTAGAAACCTTCCCATGCCAGCATTGCATTTTGGTCCTGTGAGGTAGGAATGAGTGTTTATTTTCTGCCATCTATTAAGCTCGTGCATATTTGCCTAATTTGGAAAAGAAACTCCTCCTTTGTTCAGTAAACGTGTTTTTGAGTACCCACTCTGTGACATGCACTATAATAGGTGCAGAGGGTGCAAAACCCTGTTGTTCACCTTTCAGTCTGGTTAGGCCTACCCAACAGAAATTACTCTGGCCCTATACCCTTTAGTACCTATATAATATTCCCATTCTTGACGGATGGTGCCCCATGCAGTTATGTCCATCATTCTGAGAGTCACCGGAATACTAACTTTGCGCCATCTCCTTTAGAAACGATTATTTGACGGACCCCTAACCCCTGAGGAGCAACTGTTAAAGGTCTTTCAATTCTTCTCACCAAGTGTAGATGAAAGGGGAAGATAGAAGTATGGATTAGGAATTGTAACATCAGGAACTTCTGGGTACTAGAAATACAGGTACATAAGACATAGTACCTGTCCTTGTGGGATAGACAAATAATGAACAATTATAGATTATACATTGTACAAAGGAAATAAATAGGGTGTGATGGTTTAAAAAGAAGAATTATAGGGTGAGCGTTTCTATATTAGGGTAATCAGAGGGGGTGTTTAGGCTGAGAGGTAAATGATGAGAGGAACACCTTGTGAAGAGCCAAGTGTACAGCATTTCAGATGGAAGAAAGCCAAGTACAAAGTTTCTGAGATGGGAGAAAACTTGGCATATTCTGGAAAGTGAGAAGGCCAGTGTGGCTAGAGCCAGGGTGGGGAACATCTGGCCTGTGGGCCACATAAGGCCCAGGAAATCATTTGATCTGGCCCGGCCAAGGCATTAGGGGTGAATTAATTAAAGCAGGCTGATTTTTAAGTTGATAATTTTGTATGGCCCACAAATGATGTTATAAATATCCAAATGGCCCTTGGCAGAAAAAAGGTTCCCCTCCCTGGGCTAGAGCATAGCTAGTGGAAGAAAAGTGGCTTGAGGTGAGGTTGGAGATCATCAAGCTGTATAGGCCATAGTAAGGAGTTTGGATTATACATGTCAGTACAAAGGGAAACTAGAAATCTTCCCACAAGGGAGTATGATCTGATTTACATTTTTTTAAAGCTCAAGTTAGCTGCCTCGGGGAGATTGGATTATAGGGAGCTGAAGAAGGGTAGGTAATAAGAATGGAAGCTGGAAGAGATCATTGGGACAGCTGTGAAAGATGATGGAGATTTCGTCTAGGGTAGTGGTTCTCAACCTTGGCAGCATGTTAGATAACCACTTGGGGAGCTTTTCAAAGTCCTGATGTCTACATCAGTTAAATCATACTATCTTGATGTAGGCCCAGGAGTTGGAATTTTAAAAGTTTTACAGGCAATTCCATTGCACAGTCAAGGTTGAAAATATTGATCTCAAGATATGGCAGTGGAGTCGTATGGCGATGGATTGATTTTATATATAGGGTGTCCCCCAAAAGCATATACACATACTTTGAATAATTATATAAAGACAGTGTCTATTAAAACAAATTTTATTTTTAAAATTAAGCTACCAGCTGTTAAAGTGTGTATACATTTGGTGGGGGGGGGGGGCACCCTGTATATTTTGCAGGTTCAACAGACAGGATTAGCTGATGTATTTTTTCTTTTCTTTTTTTTTAAATATATTTTTATTGATTTCAGAGAGGAAAGGAGAGAGCTAGAGATATAGAAACATCAGTGATGAGAGAGAATCATTATTTGGCTGCCTCCTGCGTGCCTCACACTGAGGACTGAGCCCACAGCCCAGGCATGTGCCCTGACTGTGAATTGAACTGTGACCTGGTTCATAGGCCAGTGCTCAACCACTGAGCCACACCAGCCGGGCTGATTATTTTTTCAGTGGGAAGTAGTGAGGAAAGGGACTCTCAAGTTTTCAGCTTTCATAACTGAATTGATGGTGGCATCACCTACCAAAATGGGAAAGTCTGAGCTTTGAGAAAGAAAATCAGGATTCTTTTTTAATATATTGAGCTTGAAATGTCAATAAATCATTCAAATAGAGAAATCAAAGTGTGAGTTGATGGGGAGAATATAAATAAAGAGAAAGATCCTAAGACTGAGGCTTGAAGAACTTCAGGCGAGGATTATGATTAGGGAGAAATAACCTACAAAAGAGTCTATAAGACAGACAATGAGGTGTAGAATATTGTGGTATTTACGTAACCAAAGGGGAAGTAGTGTCTCTAGAAGAAGAGGTGGTGGCTAGCTGAGTTGAAAATGAAAGGTGCCTAATACAGTGAGATCAGAAAATACTGAATTTAGCAAGATGAATGCTGTTGATGATCTTGATAATTTTAGTGAAATGACAGAGATGTAAGTCAGATTGGAGTAAGCTGAGAAGAGAATGGTAGAGAAAAAAATTGAATGAATAGGATATGAGGAGAAAATTGTATATAGTCAACTCTTGAGAATATTTTTACTGGGAATGTAGCACAAAAATGGCCCTAATAGCTAGAGAAGAAGCTAAAGTCGAAAATAAGTAGGTTAGTTTTGTTTTGTTGTGTTTTATTTTAAAAAAATATATTTCTAGGAATGATCCAATAGAAGATAAGGGAGGGAGTGAAGTTCTTGAGAGGGTAAGCCAGGCGAGGATCCAGAGGACAAATAAAGGGGTAGCTTTGAAGGAACAAAAGTATTTCTGCCATTTTAGAGAAAGTGATATAAGTAAAGGTGGATTTGAGGAGAAGCTAGAAGAGAGGGAGAAGGAACCTGAGCCTTGAAATACACACAAAGACCTGAAAAGATATAAAGAAAAACTCAGTAGGTCATTCTTTGATCACATATGATTCTTCTATGATCTGATATAGTTCTGATTTTGACTTATTTTCCTCTCTCCCTTACTCAATTTCAGATGTACTCTGTTTTGGAGGAGATATCCTAAATATCACAGGTATATTTCAGTTTTTCTGAATATTTTGTGGACTACGTGAGGAAGACTATATTTAGGTGGAGTATGGCATATTTGTTTATTCAACATTGTTTGGTTATTTAATATGTGCTGGGCCTGGAGAAATGAAGATAAGAAAGACACAATCTCTGGGGGTCTCCCAGTCTAATGGGAAAGCCTTGCCCATATTAAGCTCACATTGCTTTACATTTTGCTTAGATTGAATGACAGAAAAACAAGTGCCTGTAGAGTATTCATTAGTAAACTAATGAGAAACTTAGTCATTAGTAGCAGAAACTAAATGTAAGACAGGGAGGAGTAAAAAGTCTCCTATCTGGAGAACTCTTAGGGTCATTAACAGCTTTATGCCACACTGTTGAACCATCTTTTTATTTAAACTTAAACCAACCATAAAATTATATTTGAATATGAACCTACATTTTATGAAGTACCCCTCATCATCTTTTAGTATACTGGTGGAAGGAAGATTAGCAAAACTATTATTAAACTACCCTTAAACTATCCTTAAACCTTAGTAACATTTCAGCTTCTACCTAGTCATCTTTATTTATATGCTCAGGTCATTTTGAGGCTCTAAAGCAATATTTTAAGCAAGCATCATATATAGAGCCAAGAAGCCTTGCCTGACACCTTGCATGATACCTTCTGCATTATTGGGGTCTTTGTCCTGGTCAAGTGAGTCCAGATATTTGACGTCTGTCAGCCTGTCTTTCGTCTCTGCAGGGAATGTCCTCCTGGCACTCTGGACAGTGGAACAGAATCAACTGAGTGACATCATTACCCTCGTGGCAAAATGCAGTCTGGAGATACAGGAGAAATTTGGGGTCTACCATACCAGAGAAGGCCAGGACCTGCAGCTAAAGATAGGTAGTAGCTACTAAAAGATATCCAATTGGAAAACAACAACCACAGGAAAAAAAAAAAAACACTATAAAAATTTCAAAAGATAAATTGGGTAAAAATATTTGCAACTTATATCATGTAGACAAAGGATGAATTTTTTTAACATAGAAAGAACACAGGGAAATAAAAAACACATAGAAATAAAAAAAACTAACATTCTAAGAGAAAAATAGACATGAATAAATAGTACATAAACAAAGAAATACATAAGATGGTCAACTTCATAATAAGAAAAATGCTAATTGAGATCATTTCTCATCTAAAAAATTCAGATGCTAAACATACTATTGAGGCTGTGAAGAGTAAGCCTTCTTATGTGGTACTGGTACGAATCAACAATGATATAACATATGGAAGATGATTCAGTAATCAAGATTATAAATGCATTTATTCTTTTTTTAAATATATATTTTTATTGATTTTAGAGAAAGAGGAAGGGAGATGAAGAGAGAGAAACATCAATGAGAGAGAAACATTGATCAGCTGCCTCCTGCATGCCCCCTACTGGGGATTGAGCCCACAACCCTGGCATGTTCCCTGACTGGGAATGGAACCAGCAACCTCTTGGTGGGTGGGACAACGCTCAACCAACTGAGCCACACCAGCCGGGCAAATGTATTTATTCTTTATCCCAGCAATCCTACTTCTGAACATTTATTCTATAGGAATACCTGAGGGTACATGAAATGTCATATGTACAAGATTATTGATTGCAATATGGTTTATAATAAAAGGTTGAAAACAATCCATCTGTAGGAGACTGATTAAGCACTAAATATGTCTACTCAATGAGATTCTCTGCAACTTAAAAAATATGTTCTGATAAAGCAGGATCTCCAAAATATATATGAGAACAAGTAGTATTTTATTGTATGGATTTACTACAATTTGTTTCTCCATTCAGTTTTTTTAAAGTTTTGGCTAAGAGAGGAATTCAGAGCCAAGACTCAAATTATAAGAGAAAGTTTTATTTAGAAAGTCACAGAGGTAGAAGAAGTGAGCTGTAGAAGAAATGGGCTCAGGAAACAAGTTCTATCAAAAGGGCCCTTGGAGATTAGTGGGGAGAGAGAGATGCTCCTTGAAAGATGAAAGACAAAGAAGAGGTTTAGGCATGCTCCAGCAGGGAAGAGAGCCCTGGGGACAGAAGGGGGTGGGGAACGGTATGGGTGTGCTTCACAGAGCCATTATCTACTCACTTTTGATGGATAATTGAGTGCTCAATTTTTGGCTATTACAAATAAAGCTGTTATGAACATCTGTGTACAAGTCTTTGTGTGAACATATGTATTCATTTCTCTTGGGTAAATACCTAGGAGTAGAGGGCCTGGGTCATATGGTAGATGTATGTTTATCTTTTTAAGAAATTGCTAATCTTGTCTTGATTGGGTAGCTCAGTTGGTTAGAGCGTCTTCCAGACATGCCAAGGTTATAGGTTCAATCCCAGGTCAGGGCACAACAAGAATCAAACAATGAATGAATAAATAAGTGAAACAACAAACTGATCTCTATCTTTCTCTTAAAAATCAATCAATCAATAAAAGGGAAATTGCTAATCTTTTTTCCAAAGTGATTGTACCATTTTACTTTCCCTCTAGCAATGAATGAAGGTTCCAATTTCTTCACGCCCTTGTCATTGTCTGTTTGAAGAACTTTAACATTTCTCATAGTATGAATTTGCTGGAGATGTGTTTCCAGTGTGTGTATGTCTGGAAAAATCTTTATTTAAATCTTTTTTAAAAAATATACTTTATTGATTTTTTTACAGAGAGGAAGGGAGAGGGATAGAGAGTCAGAAACATTGATGAGAGAGAAACATCAATCAGCTGCCTCCTGCACGCTCCCTACTGGGGATGTGCCCGCAACCAAGGTACATGTCCTTGACCAGAATCGAACCCAGGACCCTTCAGTCCACAGGCCGACACTCTATCCACTGAGCCACACCGGTCAGGGCTAAATCTTTTTTTTTTGAAAGATATTTTCAATGGTATTAATTTCTAGGTTGACAGATTTTTTTTCTCTCTTACATTAAAGCTGTTGCTCTATCTTCTAGCTTGTGATGTTTCCAACAAGAAATCTGCCTTCATCATTATTTCTTTGTATATAATGTGTCTTTTTATTTTTTCTTCTGGCTGTTTATTTTTTTAATTAATTTCATAGAGGAAGGGAAAGGGGGAGAGAGAGAGAAACACCAATGATGAGAGAGAATGATGGATCGACTACCTCCTGCACACTCCCTACCAGGCATTGAGCCCACAACCCTGGGCATGTGCCCTGACTGGGAATCTAACCATGACCTCCTGGCTCCTAGGTCGATGCTCAACCATGAGCCACGCCTGGTTGGGCTCTTCTGGCTGCTTTTAAAGATTTTTTCTTTATTACTGGTTTTAGGTCATCTTATGATGTGCCTTGGTATTTTTTAGTGTTTTGTTTTTCTTTTCTTTTTTCTTGTGCTTATGGTTCATTGAGGTTCTTTGATCTCTAGGATTTTAGTTATCAAATTTAGAAAATATTCTGCCTTTTTCTTCAATTTTTTTCTGTTTCCCTCTTCTTCTGTCCAATACAACATGCTATACACTGCTTGAAATTGTCCCATGACTCACTGGTGCTGTGTTCAGTTTTTTGTTTTTTTTTCCATGTCTTTCATTTTGGATAGTAAATTGCTGTTTATTCAGATTTGCAATTTTTTTTGCAATTACCTTTATTCCTGCCTTATGTATTTTTTATCTCAAGCCTTGTAGTTTTTATCCTTGGAAGTTTGATTTAGGTCCTTATTTATCTTTCATGTCTCTATTTATTCAGCCTATTCTCTAGGTTCTTGAATATATGGAATGTAGTTATAACTCTTTTTATATTCTTGTCTACTAATTTTATCTTTTGTGTTATTCTGGGTTATGTTTGATTGATTGATTTTTTTTCTCACTGTGGATCATATTATCCAAAAAGTTGCATGTCTGGTAACTTTTAGTGTGTGTCAGGCATTGTGAATTTTACCTTGCTGAGTGCTAGATTTATAAAATCTTGCCATAATATTCTTGAACTTCATTCTGAGATGTGGGTAGCTTGATCCTTTAGGGTTTCACTTTTAAACTTTGTTGGATGGGACCAGAGTTGTGTTTAGTCTAGGGCTAGTTTTGCCCCATTCCTGAGGCAAGCCCCTTCAATGTCCTGAGAATTACTAAGTTTGACACTCTGGCCAGTGGGGACAGGAACTATTCCCAGCCCTATGTGATATTGGGGATTGTTCCTTCTAATCTTTTCAGGCGATTCTTTCCCAAGCCTCAGGTGGTTTCTTCATATTGATGCACTTACTAGTACTCAGCTAAAAGCTTGAGGGTCCCTGTACAGATTGCTGGAGTTTTTCATCAGTAGGCACAGTGCCCTATTGCCTCTAGCCACCATGCCCTACTCAGACTCCTAGCTTTGTCTCCAACTCAGGGAGTCTTCTGGGCTGCACCTGGGTTTCCACTCCCCGAGATGTGTCCTGGAAACTTGACAGTAGTTGGGGTATCAGAGGGTTCACCTTGTTTTCCCATTTCTCAGGCATCATTGTTTTCCATTACCTGATATCCCAGTATCTTGAAAATTACGTTGTGTATTTTTTCCAATTTATTAGTTCTGAACATTATGGTAAATTCACTACATGTTGTCCATATTGGACAAAAGCATATGTCTGCCATTTTTCCCTTGTTTTTAGTTGGATTAGGTGACTTAGCCCATGTCTGTTAAAATATTATCTATTCATCAGCCCACGTTACATGCAAGGAGGGATGGTGTGGTCACTGTGACAACAGTGTCTGAGCGTAACCTTTAGGTCTCTTCCAGCAGGCCCTAGTTGTCCATTAGAAGAGCAATTTAGAGACAAGACTCTCAGAAGCCTATGATCTTTTGTTTCTTCCCCCATACACCTCTGACTTGTTTGAGTGTCTGTCTCTAGCTGTGTTTGAGACAGAAAGAAATCTGAGGCAAGGTGTTATTTTTCAAGTTGAGCTCATCTAATATTTCTGCAACTATGGGCAATAACAAGATTGGCATGATGCAGAGAGCAGTGTGAGGATTCCAGACCCCTCCCTTTGTATATTCAGTTGAGTTTGGCTATTCACCACTTGTCTCCTTTTTTCTGGATAGGTCTATCTGCAGGTCGGATTTCCCAGGTTATTGTTGGAGATGAACAACGACAGTACCTCTTGGTGATTGGGCGGGATGTAGATGATGTCCAGTTAGCTCAGCGTTTGGCTCAGGCAAATGAGATTGTCTTGTCCTGGAACTGCTGGACACTCTGTGAGCAGTACATGTTTGAAGTGGAAATCATGAAGGAGGATGAAGCTGTGAAGGTAGGAGGCTGGCACCATCCATTCCCATTCTGCAAAGGCCTTTCTACTGCACATGGCAGGCAGTGCTTTGGTGGTGGTACATATTGCCTAACCAAAACAACAACCATTGGAACTCTATTTTGGAGGGAGGTGGGGGATATTTCCCCAGAAAGATAGATGAGGCGGAACAGTAAGGCTAAAAGGATAAATAATAAACAAAGGAGATGGCATCCTTGGCCCCTGTGTTAAGGAACCAACGGTAATTCAGTTGATGGGTGGGCACAGAATTGAGCAGTTTTCTTTCTATAGTTAAGAGATATGCGGATCACTGACCCATTTGATTTTGATGAGCATTTTGACAAGTGCCTCAATTATCTGCCACATTACCGGACAAGTGCTAGTAAGTTACTTTGTTCTTTCTACCCAAGCCCAAAATGTTAAAGATTAATTTTCAACATGGCTGGAGACATTTCATTTGTTTTCCTTTTCTCAGATACTCTAAGAACTGCCCTGGAGTTGGATCCAGACTCTGCACTTGAGCAAACTCTGCGGAAGCACATAATGAAAAACCTCTTGAAGAAGGTTATTTTCTAGTTCTTGAGTCATCGTGTAGACTGTGCATGTGTTTGTGTGAACAAGTGTACATTTATATGTGATGTCCTATTTGCACTGACCCAGTTTGTCTGTCTCCTGCACCAATTATTGTGATGACCTGTCCTATAATTTTAATCAGATTTCTCAATCCTAGAAAGTAAAAGCCATGTTTGTTTTTCAGTTTGTCCCTCCAGAAACTAATATACTGTATAGCAGGGTATAGAGTAAGTATATACTTAGTTAATTAATATGTGTTGACTAAGTGTGTATATATAAACATATGTAATGACTAATGGAATTGGAAATATCAAACTAACTCTTAGAAAATATAAAAGCTTAACAAGTTTCAGCAGTGAATTAGATTTAAAGTCAAACCGTTTTCATTCCAAGTGTACTGGTTTGTATATCTTATATATCTCTCAAACCTGAATTTTCTTTTAAGATTTGGTCTGATACCCTTAACTTATTTTGTCCTACTCACCACAGAAAGTAGAATTAAAATTCCTAAACATGATACTGGCAGTTGGCAATACAGGCAGGGTTAACTCACTGTCTTTGTAGATTGACGAAGGCCAACCTATGGAGTATATATCTGAATTTCGTACCGTGACTATGGTTTTGGTCAGCCTAGAATTTCACAAGACAGGATGGATGTTGCGTTTGTGTCATCTTATCCAGGAGGCTGCATTGTACATCTCCACAGTCATAGAGAAAGGGGGTGGCCAGCTGAGCCAGATCTTTATGTTTGAGAAAGTAAGTACAAGGGGACCTTAGCCATAAGCATTAAAGGTGAGTGAAAAATAATAGTCTTGTATGACCAGTTTGCCTCTCACATAACACAGGCATAAGTCATATATCCTGCTACTTATTTTACAACGTGCTATTTTACATTAAAACTTCAACTAGTATTAGTCAAGGAATGGAATGTTCTAGTTAATTGTCAGAGAAATCAAGGGTTACTCTCTATATCCTTTTTGGTTTAATTCTTGTTGAAAAATCCTTGTGAAAGCATAAAGAATGTTCTTCTGACTCTACTAGTAGAGTAAATGTAATCAGATCTTTCTTAGATAATTAAGGAGCTTGAAAAAGAGTAGTTTCAATACTTGACATTAAAGGTGAAGAAAATGGAAGCACATAGATTTAGCTCAAAGTATGCACTAGAGATTGAATTTTTGAAGTGCTTGCCATTAAATTTCCTTAAGTTTTAAATTTTAATTCTTTGGATAGTTAAATTAAGATTTTGTTTCTTCTTCTTAAATCTCTATGTTGGTGTGGCCTAGAGCATTCATTTCATGAATCTTATAGAATCCTATATTCCTAACAGAAGACCAGAAAGGATCTGGCTTCATTCAGGGGAGTTGGTTCATTTGCAGCAAGCCATATTCCTTCCCCAGATAAACTCTCTTTTCTTTCTTGTTCTGTTCCAGGGCTGCATGTTCCTCTGTGTGTTTGGCCTTCCTGGGGATAAGAAGCCAGATGAGTGTGCACATGCCCTGGAAAGCTCAGTCAGCATCTTCAACTTCTGCTGGGAGAATCTTTCTGAGACCAAGTGAGGAGGAAGGTGGGGCAGAGAGGAGCTCCTCAGGCCCCAGGGGCTCTTCGGGCATGGTAGGAGGCTGTGACCAGTAGCAGGGTTTGAGGACATCCAGAATCTTCCTAATACTTCTGCTGGGAGAATCTTTCTGAGACCAAGTGAGGATCAAGGTGGGGCAGAGAGGAGCTCCTCAGGCCCCAGGGGGCTCTTCGGGCATGGTAGGAGGCTGTGACAAGTAGCAGGGTTTGAGGACATCCAGAATCTTCCTAACGGGGAGGGAACATGCTAAGGGAAGTCAGAAAACAAAATCTATTAAGAAATCACTAGTTATAGAACAGTGTCCTAGATACCCAGAGCAAATGAAAATAAATTTCTATTCAAAGGGGTGGGAGAGGGCGGGGGAACAGGATGCACATAGCAAGACTGAAGAACACTGCAAATGTGTACATTAATATAATACAAATAGTATATATGTATGTGGAGGGAATGCAGAACAAAGGTTGTCTATCTACCTATTAGGGAGGGGAAGTAACCACAGCTGGTTAGTGCTCTCCTTCTGTCTTTCGCTCTTGGTCTTTCCCAGACCCATTAAGTTTTCTGGAATTCACACTGATATGATCACCCTCCTCTACATTCACCTCGCCTTCCCACCTTCTATAAACTCCTAGTCCTAGTTAATAGAAAATTCCATTTTCCCACTAGTTGCACTATGACAAGGTTGGTTGGAATTTTTCAAATGACATCTTTTTCCCCATTAGAAAACTATGGGGAAAGTGTATACATGAATCAATTTGAAAAATAGTTATATCTAATGTTAGCATTGAGTCAAAGATTATTTGCTTGCCATACTTAATCAAGATGAATAAAATTATGTCACATGTTTATACAATGCTTTAAATTTTATAGAATACTGTAATATATGATACCAGTGTGAAAATTGTCTCTGTCTTTATACATAAGGAAAGTAAGACCACAGAAGATAAATTATTAGCATATAGCAGATCTGGTAATGAAACCCAGATCTTCTGTCCTCAAATTCTGTCATTTTCATTACCCCACAACTGCCTCTTATAAATACTCTCCAAAAAAGTAAGCATATATTACAAATATGATATAATATGATAAAATTTATCTTCATTTGCTGTGGGTATCTAGGACACTGTTCTATAACTCATAGAATGTTAGTACTGAAATTTACATTATCTAATCCAACTTCTTATTTTACAGATAAAAGATGCTACAGTTGCTTCTTATATACTCCGACTCTTAGCCCAGGATAGATATGTGCTGGCACTTCTTTTAGGCATGGTGGGGTCTATAGATGCTTCTACAGCCTGCTTTCAAATCTTATCTCCACTATGGGTGTGCTGGGCCTTCTCATCCAGTGCTAGTCTGTTCTGCTCTTGAATTTTGCATTGACCTATATATTTATATATTGAAGAAAGAACATATTCTTTATCAATGAAGAACATTTTTATTTTTTATTTTTTTAACATACTTTTATTGATTTCAGAGAGAAAGGAAGAGAGATATAGAAACATCAATGATGAGAGAGAATCATTGATCTGCTGCCTCCTGCACACCCCCTACTGGGAATCCAGCCTGCAACCTGAGCATGTGCCCTGACCAGGAATTGAACCGTGACCGCCTGTTTCATAGGTTGATGCTCAACCATTGAGCCACACCTGCAGGGCAAAAGCATTTTTAAAAGAAGGAAGGAACATGGACTTCCAGGAAGAACAAAGGGACTCATAAAGTATAATAGAAAGAAATAAGAAGTAACCAAGGGAGAAAAGTGTTATTTGTTTAATTATCATTGTCTTGTTAATAGCTGAGTTTCTTGCATGCATAACTATATTCATTCAACAGGCATTGGTTGAACACGACCATGAGTCATTTTTGATGGACATAAAGAGAAATGGGGCACTACCTCCTCAGCTAAGTAAACCACTCTCTTTAATGCAATGAAATTTAACTGAAGGAATAAAATGCTGTAGGAGCTGCAACAAAGTGCTATGGAAAGAAATAGTTAATTCTCACCAGAGATTCCAGAGAAGTCATAACTATAGAAATAAGTTTGAGCCAGATTGAGAATAAAAGGAGTTTAGTATATGGAGAAAGTGGGGAAAGGCATTTTAAACAAAAGAAGCATAATGAAACATTATAAGATTTTTAGTCTTATTCTTGTTATGGCAGCAGAACCAACTGCCTGGTTCTTGTCTTGGGTGTCTCTTTTATTCGCCCTGGGCAGTTGGCCCAGTGAATGAATGGTAAGAGTCTTCACTCCTGTCATTCTGGTAATTCTGCAAGAGAATTTTAATGTCTCAGGAGACAATAATGTTAGGATTGTTGTTACAATTCATGTTCTATGAACAACTGAAAATTGTTTATTTGTAGATTTAACTTAAAACTATGCTCACTGCACCCTCTTTCTCCATCCACATATCTTGTTATTTCTCACAGGAAATTTTTACGTCAGTTAAGTAAATCTACTTATTCTCTGTTCATTGCCACCTTTGAACCTTTGCTCACTAGAACAGTATATGACCTCTCTTAAAATAATTCATATTTCCAGTACTTTTCCATCCATGGACTAGGCTGGAACACTTCTCCCTTCACCTTTCCCTACTCTTGAACTATTACACTCTAGCCTTCTTGAACTATTTAGTTTTGCAGAAGCACACCAGATTCTTCAAAGACTATGCTTTTCCCACTAGACAGAATGCTGATGCCCCATTTTGGCAGTACTTCAACTTTCAAGATCCAATCATATGTCTTCTCCTTTATGAAATACTTTTTTTACTCTCCAGTTAATGCTTCCCTTCTGTTGGCTCTGTTAATTTGCTGTATTGATCTCTAATATGTAGTATTTGTCTTGTTAACCTATAATTATGTCTTTTCTCCTTCCTCAATCCCTATCACTCTACTCCTTAGATTGAACTTTTCCAGGGAAGGGTATTCTTGTACAGGTCCGTATTGTATAAAAACCCAGCCCAATTCTGGGTACTGTACATACTCCTCAATGCCTATTAAATGGATGAATGTATACATGTGTGAATGAATGAAAAAAATATTACTTATTTTTAAAATGTATATCCTAAAGTCTAATTTGCTTCAGGAAGCCTTCCGTCAGCAGCCAGACATTTTGGTTATTCCTTTACTCTGACATTCTAGCATTATTTGATCCATTAACCCAGTTCTGACATCGGTTGATCTATTTAACTTTCAGGTTTTATCTGAGGCAGTGTGGTGTAGTGGAAATAACATTGGTCTAGGAGTCAGAGGCCTGGGTTCTCATTCTAACTCTACTGTTGACTTTGCTGTGTAACTCTGGGAAAGTGAATTAACTTTTAGTTGGTGGTGGTGGTGGTGGTCAAAAGGGGTCCAAATATTTGCCCTATATATTTCACATGTTTGTTGTTCATTATCCCTTAAAGGATCAGATGAGGTAGTCAATTTGAAAGAACTTCAAAAAGCATATATAAAGTATCTGACAGATATAAAGTATTTTAGCCATTTGACTAATAATTACTCCCCAAGTAAAACTCCTGGAGTAGGGGGGCCATTCTGTTCCTCTTGGTTATTTCCCTAATATTCATTATTTTGTACCCATCATGTGATGTAGACTGACAGCAGCCTCTGGCCTTTTTCATCCTGAGCTCTAGCACTAGCCTTCTGGATCTGAGTAATGGCCAATCTAGTGCTTGACTTGAAGGCTTCTGACTGTGTTGTTGCTTTTCTGATCCCCAGGCTTGTTTCCATCAGTATCACCAATGGACCAGTATTCTGTGGCGTGGTTGGGGCAGTAGCAAGACATGAATATACAGGTAGAATAGGACACTGGGCTGTTAGTTCTCTGACTTAGGGGGGTAAAGCTGGAGGAGGTGATCCAAGAATTCTGCATCCTTTTTTTTTCCTGTCCCCTTGACACAGTTATTGGCCCGAAAGTGAGCCTTGTGGCCAGAATGATAACTGCTTATCCAGGTTTGGTGTCTTGTGATGAGGTAACATATCTAAGATCCATGCTACCTGCTTACAACTTCAAGAAACTCCCTGAGAAAATGATGAGAAACATCTCCAATCCTGGGAAGACGTATGAATATCTTGGCCATAGAAGATGTATGTGAGTGTCATTGTGTAATAGTTCATTCCCATCTCTTTTACAGAATCAGGGCATAGGAGTAATCAGTGTTTGATTGTATGACATTAGAAAGAAAGATGCTTCTAGGACCGGCCTGCTGAAATAAGAGACATAAGAAAAGGGCTTTGTTCCTGAGATCCTCAGCTTTTATGTTTAGCTCTTTGCTAGTTCCTCAGTGAACTTGTTATTCAACAGGAAGAGAATAGCAATAGGTCATTAATCTAGGTGTTATTTTTTTCTTTCTGTACTTCATACTTCCCTGAACCTAGAACAATCAATAATTCTTCTTTCTCCCTTCTGCCAAATTTTTTAAATTTTTTAAAGACTCTTTTTTACATAACTGTATCTCTTGAGTTATCTGAAAATACTTACTTATGAGGACAATTTTTCCTCTATTAATTGGAGGTATATTATCTATCTATTTTTAATAGACACATTTCCCTTTGTTTTCCTAGCATGTTTGGGAAGAGACATTTGATCAGAGTGAGAAATAAAAATCACCCTTTGTTAGGTGAGTTTTATATCTTAAATTGTATATTTTTCAGCTATAGATGGTGATTATGATTTAAAAATTTCAAGATTAAATGCTTCTAAGTTGTATCAAAAATAGAAAGCAGCCTTCTTAGTATATTTATGTTCGTTTTGAAGAGGGCTTGCCATTTCTTTTCCACATTGGATGTTTAAATTTCAGGGGGAGTCCTATCACTTGGCCTGAGAAGTACCAACATTTAGTAAGAATTTGTGTAAGTCAGAGTTCAGTTATTGAGATCTGACCAGCTTGTTGTGGCTCACCTTTAGAGGGAAATTCTTCATCCTTAGACAGTAAAGATAGCACCAAGACGGTTGCCACTTACACTGTAAATTCTCTCTCTTTATATTTCTTTTATCTGTATATATTAGATAGTTCATTATCTTTACATAGCAATGACGGACTTCGATTAAAAATTGTTATTATAGAAATTTTTACAAAAAGCTAAGACATATCCATGTGGTACCTAATTGTCCAGAATGTCATTACTTAGGCTCTAGAGCAAACCACCACGCCCAGCACACATTTGTAGAGGCCAAAGTTAACTTTCTGGGAAGATATGTGAAGCTTCACCAAAGAATGGGATTCTGCCAAGAATTCTTGGGGAGAAATGGCATTCTGAGACTTAATTTTTCAAATTAATTCAAATAAATGGAGTCTACTAAAAAGCACAGGAGTATTAGGTGCTCCCTTGTCTCTCTACAGACCGGGAGAAAGAACTAGAAGCCTTCCAAATGGCACAGCAGGGATGTTTGCACCAGAAGAAGGGACAAGCAGTTCTGTATGAAGGTGGAAAGGGCTATGGAAAAAGTCAGCTGTTGGCTGAAATAAACTTGCTGGCCCAGAAAGAAGAGCACAGGTAAAGACACCTGCTTTCTGACTGGACATGTGCTTCTTTTGGGGCTCCTTTCCTTTATTGGTGAGACTCTTGTATCATTAGATTCCACATCCTTGGGCTGGTAGAGTGAGTAACCTCTCCATGGGTCAATGGCCTTCCCGTGACCATAGTAACATTCCCCAGGGTGTTGTCATTGAAGCTGAAGGAAGCAGATTCCAAGCAACACTTCTATGCCATCCAGACCCTCATGGCCATCTTCTTTGAAATTGATACATGCCCAGCCTTTTACCGGCAAGAGTGCCTACATAAACAGCTTTGTGGGAAAGTGGAGGAACCACTTCACTGCCTTTTTAATGACCTCTTCTTTGTAAAGGTAAGGAAGGCAGTGGCTTTCTGAATTGGATTACTGATGTTATATATATACTACGAGGCTCAGTGCATGAATTCATGCACCATTGGGGTCCCTTGGCCTGGCTCTCCAAGGGGTCCGAGAGGGCACAGGCCAGGCTGAGGGACCGCACTGGTGCATGATTGAGGCCAGGGAGGGGTGCGGGAGGTTGGCCAGCAAGGGAGGGACCGCAAGAGGGTTCCAGGGTGTGTCTGGCCCATCTGACTCAGTCCTGATCAGCTGGACCCCAGCAGCAAGCTAACCTACCGATCAGAGCGCCCTCTGGTGGTCAGTGCACATCATAGTGACTGGTCAACCCATCGACTGTCTGTCCCCTGGTGGTCAGTGCACGTCATAGCAAGTGGTTGAGCAGCCTTACCATATCATTAGCATATTACTCTTTGATTAATTGAATGGACGACCGGACACTTAGCATATTAGGCTTTTATTATATTGGATATGGGCTAAGAACACATAATTAGCAATGGTGGAAGTGAGGTTTGAAACCCTTTTGACAGCAAAACCCCGGCTTTCTCCTTTTTGAGGAGAGTGAATTCTAGGATTGACTCTGACACTTGCTAGTTGTATGTCCTGGCACAAATCACTTAGCCTTGCTGAGCTTCAGTTTTTTCACCTGTGAAAATGAGTTCCGTACTTATAGGGTTTTTGCATGGATTTTAAAGGAGATGGTATATAAGAGGTTGCATTGTAAGTGTGAAAGTGCTAAATCCATCAAGATGATCCTGACCAGTTGAGCATCCCCAGCAGTTGTATCCATGTCCTCTCTAGTCAGTTTGCAAGTGTTGCTCTTTAAGCCTACCTTTCCTTTCGTTGGCCATGGAGGATGTCACTTGAACCAGCATCTGAATCTCAAAGGCTTCCAGTGGTCCAGGGTGCACGTGGTACCCAATAGAGTGTAGGCTAAGAATTCCCTGGTCCACATTCTATTTTTTCATCCTCCATCACTTTTTCTAATCTACCCAGCTTGCAAGGCATATATTTAATGGAAAACAGAGAAAACTAAAATCTGTTCAATCCCTCAGCATAGCCCTGTCTTAAGACAGGCCTTGCCTAGGGCTCTGGCTCTGGCCCTGCCAAAGTGGTTAAGGAGTAGCCCCACTTTGGTTCTCAGGTCCATGGTAACTAATGTGCCTTGGCCTTGCAAGGAAACAATGTTAGGTGATGTCTATTGCAGTTGTTTCTGACAAGTCTCATGCACACATTAACCTGGTTTGCTTGGAATAACGGGTACTGGAGCTGTCCAAAGTGACATTGCTAGTCCAACCTGTCATTTTATTCCTTAGTCATGACCCTTTAAGAGTTTTCCAGAGTCTAGTATGGAAAGGATCCATCTCTCTCTACCTACCAATGTACCCTCTGAACTATATATTGATGTTTGTAACACTATGCTCAATACTGTATAAACCCATTCTCACTCAAAATAGAATAATTTTCGATTCCCTTTTGAAAATCTGTATATTTTTATTAGATTGTCACTTTGAATGCTAATATATGAGTAATTTTTCTGCTCAGTTTCCCTTATCCTTCGAAGTTTCACACATGGATGACCTGGCCAGACAAAAGAAGATTAAAGAGTGTTTTTTTCAAGTGCTACAGGAGGTGGGTACTTTTGCTACATACCATTAACTCTTAATATGTGGAGATGGCTTATGCTCATTTTATTTTTTTAATGAATTTTTAAAATATTTTTCTTGATTTTTTTACAGAGAGGAAGGGAGAGGGATAGAGAGAAACATCAATGAGAGAGAAACATCGATCAGCTGCCTCCTGTATAACCCCCACCAAGGATGTGCCTGCAACCAAGGTACATGCCCTTGACCGGAATTGAACCTGGGACCCTTCAGTCCGCAGGCTGATGCTCTATCCACTGAGCCAAACCGGTTAGGGTGGCTTATGTTCATTTTAATCTAGCCACCTCACACCTTGACTTAGGCATTTCTTAGCCTTCTTGAAAGATATCTTCATTGCATCTATTTTTAACCTTGAATCCATCATATAGCACAGCATACAATACAGGTCTTCGCTTCTTTCTGATCCTGTTTCTTAATGAAATTTTAACAACTTGATTTAAAACAGTGGGTTGTAAATGCAGGTGCATAGCTATTAAAAATACAGATACTTAGACCTCCTACCCAAAATTACAGAATCTATAAGAGCAAAAACTGTGATACAGCCATTCTGGAAGGCAATCTAGAAGTAAAAGTCAAATTTTAAGAACATGCATTCTCTAGACCCAGCAATTCCACTCCTGGATTTATATCCCAGGGAGTCTATTTATTGCAGTGTTTGTTTGTAGAGGCTAAGGAGACATTGGCATGAACTCAGAGATGAACACCGTGGACTATATTGCAGAAGTTAGAAGTAAGGGAAGAAATGAAAACATAGCGACACAGAGTGATCTTAAAAACAGTCCTTAACAAAGAGAAACAATATGTACTGTAGTGCCATTTATATAAAAACAATATTCTTGACAAAACAAGTATACACATTTACAAGGACAACATACAAATGAAAGGTTAAATGATTAACACATTAAAATAGTTACATGTGGCAGTGGGGAATGTGGATAAAACCAAATACATTTTTTAAGTCTACATGAGTGGGGCCCGGAATTGGTAGTTTTAGCAAGCACTCCCAGGAAATTCTGATTTGCAGCCTGGTTTGGAAATGACTAGTTTAAAGAATTATGAATTCCCTTTGCACAAGGAAATATTTGGAAGCTTTAAGTTTCATTTGGAGAATATTTTTGTTTATTTTTTTGTTAGAGTATTTTTTTGTCCAAAGAAACTCAGTACATTTCTTTAGAAGTTAGATATACAGGCTACATTTTGTATTTATAAAGTAAAGTACTACCTGGACTTAGGTTACATTTTACTCTGAAAACCCCAGGCTCTATTGACATTTTATTTAAATTATGGATGAGAAATTCATGGTAGATTTGCAAGTCAGGTGACTTCATTTCTAATCAGATGTTGTCATTGTTTCTTTGCTGTTATTTCCAGGCAGTGAGGGAAACACCACTGATTTTCCTCATTGACGAGGCCCAGCATATGGATGCAGCTTCCTGGGAGTTTTTGGGAACATTACTCTCCAGTGTGCCCATCATCATGGTGATGACATTGATGCCTACCTCCACCCTGTGTGGTGGGGCCCAGCACGTCCTGCAGAGCCCTCAGGCTATGCTGAAGCCCATTTCGAAGTTAGCAGCAAACTCACTATTGAAAATGGCATGTTGGGAACTAGGGGCGGTGAGCATCCCCCAAGAGCTGCAGATGTGAGTGGCTGGGACTAGCTGGGCACTTCATGAAGGGAGGAATGGCATTAGTAACCATGATGAGACCCAAGACTAGATGTAAGGGTAGACAGTCCTATAAACCAGAAAGGGCTACTTCCCTGGGCTATCCACCAGGTTTTCACTGGACAGATAGGACTTGGATGGCTTGCTTAATGCGTCAGTTATATGTGGTCAGGCCAGTTTCTGCCAGGCCATTTAGCAAGGGAATATTAGTTCCTTTTAACATCAATAGAAGCAAAATAGTTAAAAAAGAAAAGTTACTGCCAATATAACTTTCAAAGCCAATCAGAATTTTGTTTACATTTCTGGGTTGCTGCTTCCCTGTTATTGTATATCGAGTGCTGACTTCAACAAAAGAAGAAATATTCCTATTATGAATACCCTTATGCATGGCTCTCTTCAAGTGGGCATCTTTAGTTAGCAATCCCGTACTTCCCTCTCTACAGCTACCTTCTTCTCAGGTGCTTGGGAAACCCCCTCTACTGTAAGGTTCTATGTCGGGACCTTCTCTCTAAGGACATATTACTCTTTCATGACCTACAAAAGGGAGAGGAGGAGAACAGCAAGTGGGAGACCCTCTCAGGTAAGCTGAGCTTGCCAGGGTTCTAACCTGGTCCAACTGCATCTCCCAGCCCTTATAAGGTACATGCCTATTCTCTGCTGACATTATAGGTAAGATTAGGCCTCCCTAGCTAAGTGAATTATACAAATAATATGAAACTATGGTGAAAATACTCAATACCTGCCTCAGATAACTTGAGTCAATCAATCTACTATAATTCCTTTTTTAGCAGCGCAGGAGGTAGGAATAGGAAAAATGGGGCCTATCAGCATGACAGTCCACTAGAGAGGATTTCTAAACATGAGAGTTCAGTAGAGAATTGCACATTACGTAGAGAAGTATGACTTGAGGAGTTGGATGGGGGAAATGGGAGAAGGGAGGATGGTAGGAGAGGAGGAAAAGAAGAATGTGTAAATCGAGAAAGACATCCTAGAACTGTGGTATAATAGAAGTAAGGGCTATTGGCAGGTAAACAGGAAGCATGAGAATGTCAGATACCACATGGTGCAGAAAATGTTAGTTTCTAAGAGAAAATTAGAGAACAGGCAGGATGGGTGGGGTAAACCACTTAAAACGTCGTATGCTCCATTCATCTTCATCCTTTCAGTTTCTTGACTAAATTCTTGCCTTTTTGTGCCTTTAAAACTGCAGTCACTGAGCATGGTGCTTTCCTCAGTCATAGTGTTCTTTCCCTACAGCCAATGCCATGAAATCCACAATGTATAGTATTTCTCCTGCCAGCTCTGAAGAAGACCAGAAATTTTATGTCTGCACAGTCAAGGATGAGGTGAACTTGGACACAGTGCTTCTCCCACCATTGTTAAAAGGCATGTTCCTCGAAGAACTCAAGTGAACCAATAAGAGATGTCATTGCAATTAGTAATTTTGTGGATGACTGAGTATAGGTCTCTTATTATCATGCTAGTTTCATTTTTTTAAAAAAAATTTTTTTATTGATTTCATAAAGGAAGGGAGAGGGAGAGATAGAAACATCAATGATGAGAGAGAATCATTGATTGGCTGCCTCCTGCATGCCCCGCACTGGGGATCGAGCCCATGACCTCCTGGTTCGTAGGTTGAAGCTCAACCACTGAGCCACACCAGCCAGGCACTAGTTTTATTTTCTTCTAAAAAAAAGAAAACTGCCTTCCAGAAAGAAGTTCTGACATTACCCAAAGAGCCCCTTAAATAATTGTAATGCTACTTGAGTAATGGTTTACTAAGTGAGCCCATTGTTTTCTTTGGGACTGACTGATGACCAGGAAACGTTTTTTAGTTGTTTAATAAAAGCATGTCTTGAGTTTCTCTTTGTGCATATTCCTGTGCTGGAGCAAACAATAAGCAAGGGAGAAAATGTTGCTGAAATTTAAGAAACTCTGGTGCTAGTGAAGAGACAGTGTTATGCACATAGCAGGAGTTAAATAAAAAGAGTGCCAAGTAAGTTTATAATGACTTACAAGATAAAGAATTAGGTAGGCATAATTAGACAGGGATGTTTTTCTTTTTAGAGATGAGTTTTTCTTTTAATATTCAAGCGTTTGATGGCCATTGTACTATATGAAGCCCTCTGGAGGGATATGATAATGAATAAACATACTTTCAAGTCAAGGATGGTCTTGCTGAGAATATGAGACATACATATGAAATAACATGGTAGTTAAGAGCCAGGACTCTGGAGTCAAAAAAATCTGGGTACTGTTGGCTCCTCCACTGACTGGCTGTGGAACCTTAGATAAATTAATTGACTTATATAAGTCTTAGTCTTCTCATCACTCAAATGAGGGTAATGATAGCACCTGTCTACCTCATGGGGTTAGTTAAGGATCAAATGAAATAAATCATGGTATATTATAAATATTCATTGTATGTCCACTTTTTATAAGCTATTCTGGAGGTTTTAAGTCCATGTAGACAGTTCATACTGCTATAGCCATGATAGGCCACACTTGGCAATGGCTTTACTAACATAGAAGGACCAAGTCAGGAAGTACAGCATGCTAGCAGAACAGCAGCGAGTGGTTTTCTTCAGAGGGAGTCCTCACAGCAGTTTCCACCGCTACTCTCCGGAGCCCCAAGGAATAGCTTAGGTGTGATGGAATGAGATCATGATGGATGGGTGCATGTAAGCCCCATGCCCCAGCTAAAAACTGGTATCTCTTGTAACAGCCCCGTATGCATAACTTCCAGGCCCTGCAAGGGACATAGCCTATGAAATGATTTACTACCCCCAAGGAAGCCCAAAGCTGTGGTTTACCCCTGCTGTTTATAGCTTCTTCAGTTTTCTTAATCCATATTCAGCTTCCAATCCGGGGTCATTTTTAGTGTAAGCAATGTTACCTGGTAATTCAGGTGCCATTTGTCAGGATCCTGGGAAAGTGCTAGGAAGTGCATCCAAGATCAGCACTGTCCACAGAGAAGGGAAAAGGATTTGTTAGCTCATAAGCTAAAATTAATAGCTCAGTCTGCAAAACCTCGGTCTAAATCAGGAGTAGGGAACCTTTTTTTCTGCCGTGGGCCATTTGTGTATTGATAACATCATTTGTAGGTCATACAAAATTTCCATCTTAAAAACTAGCCTGCTATATTTGGTCAAACATTTAATTTAACTCACCCCTAATGCAGGGCCAGACCAAATGATTTTGCAGGCCTTATACAGCCCTCGGCCAGACATTTCCCTGATCTAAATGAAAGGCTAAAGCTATATTGTGAAAGGCCACATAAATTATAAAAGTATTTAAAAAGAAGCCCTAGCCAGTTTGGCTCAGTGGATAGAGTGTAGGCCTGCAGAC